AGCCGTCCTCTCTGTCAGTGATTGCCGCTAATCGCCGGGACACGGTAGGTAATGACCGGCTGTGACCTGCGACTGACACCCCCTACCTGTTTTGCAAACGCACGTTTTAAAACATGGTTTTGCCCAGCCGTGCCGACCAGCCACCGTATTTCTACAGTGGCTGGTTGGCAAGAAGTTAATAAACACATAATAAGTAAATAAAAAAATAGTATTTATAGTGTTATTAATCACCCAACAATAACACCAGTCTGCTTATGCAGTAATGCATGCTTGTTATAGTCTCTGTGGAAGGGGTTAATCCTCAGCATTGTGTAAAAAGGCTGTTTGATCCTGTCTTCTCTGACCCTTCCCTTGTTTTGCTGTCCCCAATCCATCTGCCATAGTTAGAGCAGCAGTGGCAAGTCTGCACATGCTCTGTTTGGTGTGTATTTGCTAGAGAGTTTTGGATTTTTTTTGGAGGGGGTGCATGTGATCAACACAGGACCAATCAGTGCTGTCCAAAAAGGGGTCAGGGGTCATGCAGCCTCATAGGAAAGTCAGAGGAGAATTAAAACTCTTCCTACAAAAAAAAAACAGTGCTCGGCCAGACACTGATTGAAGTCACAAAACTGCTATGTACTGCTGATGTGAAAAGGTATTTAGCAGTTTATATATACTAAAATAATTGCACTTCCATGTTCTGTATACTGTAGAAGACCAGATATAGTGAATGCAGGGTCCTGGGTTTAGTAACACTGTAGGTGTGCAAAAAAAATATAAAAATATGTATGAAAATAAATATATACTATATTGCCAAAATTATTCGGACGCCTGCCCTTACACGCACATGAACTTTAATGGCATCCCAGTCTTAGTCAGTAGGGTTCAATATTGAGTTGGCCCGCCCTTTGCAGCTATAACAGCTCAACTCTTCTGGGAAGGCTGTCCACAAGGTTTAGGAGGGTGTCTATGGGAATGTTTGACCATTCTTCCAGAAGCGCATTTGTGAGGTCAGGCACTGATGTCAGACAAGAAGGTCTGGCTCACAGTCTCCACTCTAATTCATCCCAAAGGTGTTCTATTGGGTTGAAGTCAGGACTCTGTGCAGGCCAGTCAAGTTCCTCCACCCCAAACTCGCTCATCCATGTCTTTATGGACCTTGCTTTGTGCACTGGTGCGCAGTCATGTTGGAACAGGAAGAGTCCATCCCCAAACTGTTCCCACAAAGTTGGGAACATGAAATTGTCCAAAATGTCTTGGTATGCTGACGCCTTAAGAGTTCCCTTCACTGGCACTAAGGGGCCAAGCCCAACCCCTGAAAAACAGCCCCACACCATAATCCCCCCCTCCACCAAACTTTATTCTTGGCACAATGCAGTCAGGCAAGTACCGTTATCCTGGCAACCGCCAAACCCAGACAAGTGCATTGGATTGCCAGACAGAGAAGTGTAATTTGTCACTTCAGAGAACAAGTCTCCACTGCTCTAGAGTCCAGTGGCGGCGTGCTTTACACCACTGCATCTGACAATTTGCATTGCACTTGGTGATGTAAGGCTTGGATGCAGCTGCTCGGCCATGGAAACCCTTTCCATGAAGCTCTCTATGCACTATTGTTGTGCTAATCTGAAGGCCACATGAAGTTTTGAGGTCTTTAGCTATTGACTCTGCAGACAGTTGGCATGTGCTGACCCCACTCTGTCATTTTACATGGCCTATCAATTTGAGGCTGAGTTGCTGTTGTTCCCAGTTGCTTCCACTTTGTTATAATAGCACTAACAGTTGACTGTGGAATATTTAGTAGCAAGGAAATTTCACAGATGGACTTATAGCATAGGTGGCAACCTATCACGGTACCACGCTTGAATTCACTGAGCTCCTGAGAGCGACCCATTCTTTCACAAATGTTTGTAGAAGCAGTCTGCATGCCTAGGTGCTGCTGTTAGAAATCACAGGGCCCCATACAGCCTACTTGACAGGTCCCCTCCCCCAGAAAATACACTAAAGTCATTATTAGCTGACACAAATCTAACATAACGTATAAAATTCCTGACAAAGCTAAAAAGATAAAACTGTATTGAGTTAACAAAGTTCTGGTTGTAAATGGGGGGTCATTCACATGCTGTGCTGTGGCCTGTACAGTGTGAATCAGTGATTTTTTTTTTAATGACTATTTCTGTGCACAGGCAGACATTTGTTATGGGGACACAACAGCTGTATAAACACAGCTGCAGGTCCTAATTTGACAGGTGTGTGGATGCAGGTGTATTTACCCCAAACCCTGACAGTGTATATTTGGGGCCACTCACCCACACCCACCTACCTGCACCTGCACACTTATCAAATTAGGACCTGCGGCTGTGATCCTACAGATGCTGCATCCTCATAGAGTAACAGGCGGTGCCATCAAACCGTTCATTCACATTGTATAGGCCAGAGAACCCGTGTGAATGATCCCTTAATTTTTTTAAATTAGCTTTTTACAATTTTTATTTTTTACAACTCTGTTGGGGGGAGGAGGCTTGGGTGGATTATTAGGGGTCTAAAGAGACCCCTGTCATCTCACCTTAGAGGCAGAGAAAGGAATTGAGGACACAGATTTTTCAATTCCTTTCTCTATAAGCCTCACCTACACTGCAGGTAAAAGAACAGGAGACAGAGGCTTCTATTCATTCATAAAAATAAAATTAAACAGCAGCAAAGCACCAAAAGACGTCTAATATATAGCTTCTTTTTTTGGGGAGGGGAGACCACTCAAGCCCATAAGGATGTGTAAAGCTCCTTTCACATAGGCGGACTCTGACAGTGGATTCGCCTGCTCACAGGGGTATCTATCTGTTGATCCCCGCTGAGTAGGCAGATGATGGCAGGTTTGTGTCCACTCTGGTGCTGCAGAGCGGACATAGGCACTGCCTGATGATTTCAATGGGACGAATGGATGGAAATGGACCACCATTGTCATGTGATCTGATCCGCTGGATGGATGGGGAACAGATCCCGATCTGTCTTTTTTTTATGCATACAAGATCAGATTGGATGCTGGCGGGTGTCAGCTGACTATAGTCCAAAGAAGTCTATGGATGGACCGATCCAAACCGCCTGAAAAAACAGCCCGCTCTCCTCTATGGGCAGTTGGATGTAAACAGACCGCATGTCCATTTGCACCCAACTGTCATCCTATCTGATCCAATCTGCTAGACGGAAGGGGAAGGGATCCCCCATCCGTCTGTTTTTAGCATATTGAATTGGATGTAGGTGTCTGTAAACTGACAAGGGATTCATTTACATCCGGCTGCCAATAGAGGACAGTAGAGGGTCTGATCGGATCTGCCTGAAAAACAGACAGGCAGACCCAATCAGTCTGTCCGTGTGAAAGGGACATAAAAGGTTAAAAAGCCCTTTTAAAACTTTTAATAGTTCTACTCACAATCAGAGCATAACCAGAGAACTGCAGCAAAGTATAAAGGTCTGTGTTGGGGCTCCAAACCAAGACTCCAGGAGGGGGAAAAGATCGGTGGACAGCCTCTGGACTGCTGTCATACACTCAGCTGGATGGAAGAAGAAACAGCTGATGGGATCTGGCACTCCAATTGGACCAGCACTCAAGTAGAAGTCACCACAGGAGTCTGAGCACAGAACTTCCTCTTCTTCAGCTGTGAACAGAGGATCCAGGTGGCTGTTTCTTTTTCCGCCCAGCTGAATATATGGCTGCAATCCAAAACTATTGAAGTTTTAATAAACATTTCAATCTTTTATACAGTACTGTGGACTTGCATGGTCATTTCCCGCCCCCCCCCCCCCACTCCTTGTGTCCTGTTCTCTGCGGGGGTCCGGGCACACAGGGGGAACTAGTTGTGAGCAGGCAGGGAGGATGATTGGTGCAGCAGAGTGGGGAGAGTACTGAAATGATGCTCTGTGTGTCTATCCTTCCAGCAGCTGAAAGCTGGCTTATCTTCCTCTACCCCGCACCAGCTTTCAGCTGCTGGAAGGATAGACACACAGAGCATAATTTCAGTATTCTCCCCACTCTGCCGCACAGATCATCTTCCCTGTTCAGCTCGCATCTGGTTCCCCCTGTGTGTTCAGGCCCCTGACAGTGGTACCCCCCCCCCCCCCCCGTCGGCAGCCCTGGTCCCAATACCTTTGGCAATATAATGTATAAGCAGCATGCATTGAGGCAGGATGTTACAAAGAAAATGTTCATAATACTCTGATCCAGTGGTCTCCAAACTGTGGCCCTGGGGCCAGGTACAGCCCTTGCTTGTATTTATCTGGCCCTCCATATCCCCCCACTGATATGAGACATTATTCTGCTAACTGACACAAACAATATGGCACCATTTCTCCCACTGACACCAACAATGGAGCACTATTCCTCGCAATGATACCAACGATGGGGCGCTATTCCTCCCAATGATACCAACGATGGGGCACTATTCCTCCCAATGATACCAACGATGGGGCACTATTCCTCCCAATGATACCAACGATGGGGCACTATTCTTCCCAATGATACCAACAATGGGGCACTATTCCTCCCATTAATACCAACGATGGGTCACTATTCCTCCCAATGATTCCAACAATGGAGCACTATTCCTGCCAATGGTACCAACAATGGAGCACTATTCCTCCCAATGATACCAACAATGGGGCACTATTCCTCCCAATGATACCAACAATGGGGCACTATTCCTCCCAATGATACCAACAATGGGGCACTATTCCTCCGCCTAATACCAAATGTGGCGATGTTTACTCCCACTTATGCCAGGAAAATGTGCTGCTGGCCACAGTCCGGCCCTCCTAAAGTGTAAAGGACAATAAACTGGCCCTTTGTTTAGAAAGTTTGGAGACCCCTGCCTTCATCTATAGAGCAATGCTGTCCCAGTTGCTTTATTTTAGTACAGGCCATGCTGTAAATTAAATTAGCATTGAAGTTTGTTATTTATTCTTTGTGTTTCACTGTAATATGTAGGTTGAATTAATATTAATCTTTAACTGATTTGTGTGTTTTTTCACAGGAGAAGGCCCGAACAGAGACACTAGAGAAGCTTCAGAATTTAGAAGTGGAGTACATGGCCTTACAGAAAGCATATGCCCTACTGCAGCAGCAGCTTGAACTCAGCCAGAAGGCAGAGAAAATGAAAGCAGAGGAACAGAGGGCAGAGGCACAGAAGGCAGAGGCACAGAGGGCAGAGGCACAGAAGGCAGAGGTACAGAGGGTAGAGACAATGAAGGTAGAGGCAATAAAAGCAGAAGCACAGAGGGCAGAGGCAATTAAGTCAGAGGCACAAAAGGCAGAGACAAAGAGGGCAAGGGCACAAAAATCAGAAGTACAGAGGGCAGAGACAAAGAATGTAGATGCAATAAAAGCAGAGCCACAGAAGAAAGAGGCAATAAAGTCAGAAGCACAGAAGGCAAGGGCGCAAAAGGCAGAAGTACTGAGGACAGAGACAATGAAGGTAGAGGCAATAAAAGCAGAGGCACAGCGGGCAGAGACAAAGAAGGCAGAGACACAGAGGACAATGGCAATTAGGGCAGAGGCACAGAGGGCAAGGACACAAAAGGCAGAGGTACAGAGGGCAGAGATAGTGAAGGTTGAGACAATAAAAGCAGAGACAAAGAAGGCAGAGACAATGAAGGCAGAGGCACAGAGGGTAGAGGTACAGAGGGCAGAGACAATTAAGGAAGAGGCACAAAAGGCAGAGGCAATTAAGGCAGAGGCACAGAGAGCAAGAACACAAAAGGCAGAGCTAAAGAGAGCAGAAAAAATTAAGGAAGAGGCAATTAAGAAAGAGGCTCAGAAGGCAGAGGCAATGAAGGCAGAGACAACGAAGGGAGTGGCACAGAAGGTAAAGGCATTTAGGACAGAGACACAGGGGGCAGTCACAATGAAGGTAGAGGCAATAAAATCAGAGACACAGAGAGCAAAGACAATGAAGGCAGAGGCACAGAGGGCGGAGGCAATTAAGGCAGAGGCACAGAGGGCAGAGACAATGAAGGCAGAGACAATGAAAGCAGAGGCACAGAGGGCAGGGATACAAAAGGCAGAGATACAGAGGGTAGAGACAATGAAGTTTGAGGTAATGGAAGCAGAGACAAAGAAGGCAGAGGCACAGAATACAGAGGCAATTAAGGCAGAGGCACAGAGGGCAGAGGCACAGAAGGCAGAGGCAATGAAGAAAGAGGCACAGAGGGCAAAGGCACAAAAGGAAGAGGTACAGAGCGCAGGTACAATTAAGAAAGAGGCACAGAAGGTAGAGGCAATGAAGGCAGAAGCACGGAAGGCAGAGGCGCAGAGGGCAGAGACAATCAAAGAAGAGGCACAGAAGGCAGAGACAAATAAGGCAGAGGCCCAGATGTCAGTGGCAATGAAGGCAGAGGCACAAAAAGCAGAAGTACAGAGGGCAGAAACAATGAAGGTAGAGGCAATAAAAGCAGAGGCACAGAGGGCAGAGACAAAGAAGGCAGAGGCACAGAGGGCTGAGACAAAGAAGGCAGAGGCACATAGGGCAAAAGCACAAAAGGTAGAGGTACAGAGGGCAGAGACAATTAAAGAAGAGGCACAGAAGGCAGAAGCAAATAAGGCAGAGGCACAGAGGGCAGAGACAATTAAGGTAGAGGCAATAAAAGCAGATGTAGAGGGGACAGAGACAAAGAAGGCAGATGCACAGAGGACTGAGGTATTGAAGGCAGAGGCACAGAGGGCAAGGGCACAAAAGTCAGAGGTACAGAGGGCAGAGACAATAAAGGAAGAGGCACAGAAGGTAGAGACAGAGAGGGCAAGGGCACAAAAGGCAGAGGTACAAAGGGCAGAGACAATGAAGGTAGAGGCAATAAAAGCAGAGGCGCAGAGGGCAGAGAGAAAGAAGGCAGAGGCATGGAGGACAGAGACAATAAAGGCAGAACCACAGAAGACAGAGGCAATGAAGGCAGAGGCAATGAAGGCAGAGACAGAGGGCAAGTGCACAAAAGGCAGAAGTACAGAGGGCAGAGACAATTAAGGAAGAGGCACAGAAGGCAGAGGCAATAAAGGAAGAGGCAAAGCGGGTAAACACACAAAAGGCAGAATTTCAGAGGGCAGAGACTATGGAGGTAGCGGCAATAAAAGCAAAGGCACAGAGGGCAAAGGCAATGAAGGCAGAGACACAGAGTGCAGAGCCAATAAAAGCAGAAGCACAGAAGGCAGAGGCAATTAAAGCAAAGGCACAGAATGCAGAGGCAATGAAGACAGAGGCACAGAGGGCAGAGACGATAAAAGCAGAAGCGCAGAAGGCAGAGGCAATTAGGGCAGAGGCACAGAATGAAGAGGCAATGAAGACAGAGGCACAGAGGGCAAGGGAACAAAAGGCAGAGGTACAGAGGACAAACACAATTAAGGAAGAGGCACAGAAGGCAGAGGCAATGAAGGCAGGGGCACAAAAGGCAGAGGCAATGAAGGCAGAAGTACGGAAGGCAGAGGCACATTGGTCAAGGGCACAAAAGGCAGAGGTACAGAGGGCTGAGACAATTAAGGAAGAGGCACAGAAGGCAGAGGCAATTAAGGAAGAAGCACATAAGGGCAGAGGCACAAAAGGCAGAGATACAGAAGGCAGAGATAATTAAGGAAGATGCACAGACGGCAGAGGCAATGAAAGCAGAGACACAGAGGGCAAGGGCACAAAAGGCAGAGATACAGAAGGCAGAGACAATTAAGGAAGAGGCACAGAAGGCAGAGGCAGTGAAAGCAGAGACACAGAGGGCAAGGGCACAAAAGGCAGAGGTACAGAGGACAGAGACAGTTAAGGAAGAGGCAAAAAAATCAGAGCCAATGAAGGCAGAGTCACAGAGGGCAAGTGCACAATGGGCAGAGACAATTAAGGAAGAGGCACAGAAGGCAGAGGCAATTAAGGAAGAGGCACAGAAGGCAGAAGCAATTAAGGAAGAGGCACAGAGGGCAGAGGTACAGAGACAGGTAAAGACACAAAAGCCAGAAAAACAGAGGGCAGGGACTAAGAAGGTAGAGGCAACAAAAGCAGAGGCACAGAGGACAGAAACAAAGAAGACAGAGGTACAGAGGGCAGAGACAATTAAGGAAGAGGCACAGAAGGCAGAAGTAATTAAGGAAGAGGCACAGAAGGCAGAGGCACAGAGGGCAAGGGCACAAAAGGCAGAGGTACAGAGAGCAGAGACAATTAAGGAAGAGGCACAGAAGGCAGAAGCAATTAAGGAAGAGGCACGGAAGGCAGAGGCACTGAGGGCAAGGTCACTAAAGGCACAGGTACAGAGGGCAGAGACAATGGAGGTAGAAGCAATACAAAGCAGAAACAAAGAAGGCGGAGACACAGAGGGCAGAGGCAATGAGAGCAGAGGCAGAGAGGACAAGGGCTCAAAAGGCAGAGGTACAGAGGGCAGAGACAATCAAGGAAGAGGCACAGAAGGCAGAGGCAATTAAGGAAGAGGCACAGAACACAGAGGCAAAGAAGACAGAAGTACATAGAGTAGAGACAATGAAGGTAGAGGCAATAAAAGCAGAGGTACAGAGGGCAGGGACAAAAAAGGCAGAGGCACAGAGGGCAGAGGCACAGAGGGCAAGGGCACAAAAGGCAGAGGTACAGAGGGCAGAGACAATCAAGGAAGAGGCACAAAAATCAGAGGCAATTAAGCAAGAGGCACAGAGGGCAGAGACAAAAAAGGCAGAGGCACAGAGAGCAGAGACAATCAAGGAAGAGGCACAGAAGGCAGAGGCAATTATGGTAGAGGCACAGAAGGCAGAGACAAAGAAGGCAGAGGCACAGAGAGCAGAGACAATCAAGGAAGAGGCACAGAGGGCAAGGGTACAAAAGGCAGAGGTACTGAGGAAAGAGACTATGAAGGTAGAGGCAATAAAATCAGAGACACAAAGAGCAGAGACAAAGAAGGCAGAGGCACAGAGGGCAGAGGCAATGAAGGCAGAAGCAATTAAGGCAGAGACACAGAAGGCAGAGGCAATGAAGGCAGAGACAATAAAGGAAGAGGTAGGGAAGGCAGATGCAATGAAGACAGAGGTACAGAGGGCAGAGACAAATAAGGCAGAGGCAATGAAAGCAGAGGCACAGAGGGCAAGGGCACAAAAGGCAGAAGTAGAGTCAGAGACAATCGGGGTAAAGGCAATAAAAGCAGAGACACAGAGGGCAGAGACAAAGAAGGCAGAGGCACAGAGGGCAGACGTAATGAAGACAGAGGCACAGAGGGCAGAGGCAATGAAAGCAGCGGCACAGATTGCAGGGGCACAAATGGCAGAGATACAGAGGGCAGAGACAATGAAGGCAGAGGCAATGAAAGCAGAGACACAGGGTTCAGAGGCAAAAAAGGTAGATGCAATTAAGGTAGAGGCATGGAGGTCAGAGACAAGGAGGGAAGATGTGCAGAGGTCAGAGACAATGAAGGCAGAAGCAAAGAGGGCAGAGTCAATGAAGGCAGAGGCACAAAGGACAGGGACAGAAAAGGCAAAGGTACAGAGGACAGAGACAATTAAGGTAGAAGTAATAAAAGCAGAGGCACATAGGACAGAAACGATCAAGGCAGCAGTACAGAGAGCAGAGGCACAGGAAGAAGAAACAAAGAGCGCAGAGGCAATGAAGGCAAGGGAAAAGATGGCAGAGAAACATAAAGCAGAGAATCAGAAAGTAGATGTACAGAGGGATAAGGCATTGAAGGCAGAGGCACAGAGGGTAGAGGTACAGAAAACAGATGCACAGAGGTCTAAGGCAATTAGGGCAGATACACAATTGGCAGAGACAATGAAGGAAGAGGCACAGAATGCAAAGGCAATAAAGACACAGGCACAGAGAACAGTGGTAATGAAGGCCGAAGCACATAAATCAGAGGCGCAAAGAACAGAAGCAGAGAATGCAGAGGCACTGAGAGCTTGGACATTGAAGGCAGTGGAACAGAGGGTGGAGGCACAGAAGGCAGAGGCACAAAAATCAGATTCACAGAAGGCAGAGGAAATTAAAGAAGAGACACAAAGGGAAAAGACAATGAAAGCAGAGGCACAAATGGCAAAGGCCATGGAAGTAGAGACACAGAAGGCAAAGGCACAGACTACTCAATCTGAGAAGGCAAAAGCTCAAAAGGCCGAGATACAGGAGGTAGCATATATGTTTTCAAACAGTTTTTCATTTTACTGAAGATTTATTCACAGCTCACCATATTTTAAATCAAGTTAAAATGGATTACCTTATAATAATGATAATATTAATAATAATAATAATGTTTTGATTAAAGCTTATCTGAATAAATATGGTGTTCAGCATTATCTTTCTAATTGCTTTCATCAGAAATCCATAAATAAGGGGTCCTCATTCAAGAAGTGTACTCAGAGCTATGCAAGCCTTTATGTTCCAGAGATCAAATGTGCATCCAGAACTACTGGTTTATAGCATAAACAACCTAATGTTAGAGGGCCATTTGTTCCACAGTTTGTATCTGGGGCATTAAAGAGTGATTGCCATTGCTCCATCCACTGTCCATAGAGAATAAACTCCTTATATATTGGTTTCATATTGAAAGTGATATATTTTTTTACCTCTGTATTTAAAAAACAATGTTGTACTTTGCAGTAGTTTAGTGGAAAGCTTTTGGTCACTTTTAGAATTCCTTACCAAAACTTGCCTTTTTTTACATATAAGTGAATAATATGTATAGATCAATAAATGCAAGGATATTAAATATACAGTAGTAATATGCTGAGTATGTTATGTAAAATTCCAATTGATTTGTTAACTCACTGATACATTTCTTTTAGATGCCAGAACCCTCAGAATACATGGGAACTCCTGTAGTGAAACTAACTGACAGCATTGAAACTAATGTTTCTACAGCAGAAGCAAACATGGAAGACAAGACTGATTTGAAATGTCCAAACTCACCAGAACCAATACATATGGAAACTGAAGAGTTTACTACACAAGACGAAACCTCTGCACTGGATGCTGTGCCTCAGGTTGAGCAACAAGAAGCTCTTACAAAACTAGAATCTGATGTACAATTAAAGGAGCAACAGGCTGTAGGAAGTGATGAAGGCTTATCAAATATTACAGTGCTTTCCACTAAAAGGTCTGTACGACTCCCAGAGGTTGCAGGTACACAGTCCAGTGAAGCTGAGATACCTCAGGGGAGGACGAGGAGAAGCTAAAGACACACCAATGTGAAGTAAGCCATTCTAATAACAATGAACCACTGTTAGAAGTTGGCTCTCTCATTAGAACAACAAATATAGCTGAGCAAGTGAATAAAGCAGTAACAGAAACAGAAACAGATTTAACATCTAAGGTATCATCAGAATTACCAACTCAAGAATATGCTGCACAAATAGCTGAAAATGTACAGGGTGCTAATCTTCCAGCAGATAGTTCAACTAAAATATTACTTAGTGATCAAAACCAGTCAGTAGTGACCCTCCTTCGTGATGTGAAAAAAGCTTTGGAGACTGGAGTGACTACTAAGGATGAAAGCTCTGTAGATCCAATTTCCTTGACTGCTCCACTAAATCTAGAACAAGCTGAAGAACATTATAAAGCTGCTCCGATGCCAGGCTTGCCACAAAATATAGGACAGGATAAAGAATCTGAGCAATTGGTAACTAATAGCTCAACCATCAAAGAGAAGGTACGTGAAACAGACCTGCCTTCCACTGAACAACTTTCTTTACATTCAGAGCAGGAAAACATTCAGGAAAATGTATCACAACATCAAGATAAACAAGATCACAGTCTCGTAACAACCTTGAAAAATTCTTTGTTGATGTTATTTCATATGAAAACAGCAGATACTGAAGACCATAAAGTTAAAACAAAAAGTCAAAGAAACTTGACTGAAGCTCATCAAGAATCATCTGGAGACATGTATGCATCTGAAAGAAGCCCCCCAAGTTCTCGGAAGGTTTATGAATCTGGCAAGGACAGTGACTCTCCACAGAGTCCAGAAAGCATGCATTCCACTTCCACTTCAGGTAAACGTTCTCCATCATCCGAAGAAGACATGGTTCATAGTGCAGATTCATTGACAACAAGTCCAACAATTCCCAGGAGAATCACTGATTTTTCAAGGAAAGGAGAAATAGCCCAAGTGGAAAGTGCTCCATTAAGTCCAGTCACACCAAAGAGAAGTTCAAAAGGCATTAGTGAGGAAACCTTCTTGACTAAAGAAGACCTACGTTTTAGTCCTTCCACTTCAAGAAAAATTGCAGCTAAAATAGCTTCAGGATCAAATTCCATTTCTGCATTATCTGTGCCTTCTATAGTTGTTGGTAGCCTACCTGAGAATACACCTGGAAATATGCTGTATGAACCCCAAAGAGATAGCAATCGTAAATGGAGGTCTAGTGAGAACTTATCTGCAATTCCTTCGGCAACGCCACAGGAGCTGGCTTCTGGTGCTCGCCGTAAGATATACCTTCCTAAGTCTAAACAACTGGAGGGTGAAGATGATGGTAATATGGGATCCATAACTCCACCCCCCAAAAAAGGGAGCCCCAACGTATCCCCAGGATTGTCTAGAAAAAGCGGCTCACTTCTGGCATCTCAGTCTCCTCCAGTGGAAAGACGTTCCCCTGGTACAACCCGAAGAACGACAAAGCTAGAAGTTCCAAAGATATGTGAAGAAACTGTAGATCAGAAAAAGGCCTCTGATTCTGGTTCTCAAGAATCAAAAGAATCAGGTGTACCACTTAAGGAAGAACCACAGATTACAGAAATTAAAAAAGTAAATGATCCTTATAAAGGTGGGTCATTTAATGCCATAGTCCAGATATGTTGTATTTTCTGTTGTGAACCATAAAGATTAACAATTCTTTAAATCTGATCTAAAGGAAACTAGAAGCATATTTTTTAGGTTATAATGTGCCCAGACTTATTTGCAACAATTACAATTTCTTTAGCATTTGGGTTTAACATGGAAGACAAACTAACTCAAATACATTTTCTATTCAAAGTCCATACTGAATATATACAGTTGTCAATAACTGGTGTCTGCCTCTGAATAATTGATGCTTACATCTACTTAGACATCTACCAAGCGTTAGCTGTGTGAACAGGAGAAGCAGACAGAGTGATCAATATGTATGCTGTTATTCGCACAACCTACCTGGACTGAGTCACTGCCAAAATGAAAGGCGATAGAGAAATCTGCATTAAACTTTTTTTTCCCCGATCTTTGCACAGCCATGTATGGTAGTTGATTCCGCAGTGTGCAGGTCATTATACTATATTGATAGTATGTATATAATATGCTGTGCTATTGTGGCACACTTTCTCTACGTGCCTACAGTAAAGTGAACACTTTTGCATGCCCTTGCAGGGCAAAGTAAAGGGGTCATTAAACTTTCCCCACCCCCATCAATATATAATCACATTTAATTTACTTGCTTGCCCCTTCACTTAGCCAAGAGGTGTGAAGTTAAATACCCAGCACTTGGTATGAGCATGTGACTCGCTGTTCCCCTTTCATGTGATAGTGTTGGTTCTTTGTGATTGGCCCAGTGCTATCACACTGGGGCAGGGTGGCCAAACCTTTCACAGCCCTTCCCTGATACCAGCAGCCAAACAGAGTAGAATGGGAGTGAGGACATGTGAAAACAAGGTGTTTCTGGGGGAAGAGAGGATTAAATTACCAAATTACCTTGACCTGCATTGGCAGGAACTGTATCAGTTGTCTCCTGATTTTATTTTTATTAAGTCTCAATGTGGTCATATAAAATTCAATTTTCATTAGCGACACAACAATTTCAAGCATTATTAGTGACACAGTATATACCTTAAACCATGAATAATGCCAGATTAGATTTTCCATAATGCTAGAAATCCACTTTTAAACTCAGAATATGCCACAACTAACATTGCACTTTGTTGGGAGCGATAGATATTGAAGCAGTTATCTTTAATATTGAAGATGGTTTCTTCATTATTATTATTATTATACAGTATTTATTTAGCGCCAAAGGGTATGCTCAGCGCTGTACAGTAGCAAGGGGGGGGCAGAACATGAGTCAAGACAGTAACAATACAATACACGAGGGGTTCGAGGGCCCTGCTCTTTCGAGCTTACAATCATGGTTATTCCTGTTAAATTGCATAAAAGTGTTATTTTTCAGAATACTAATATTTAAAGCACAACTAAAGGCAAAACCTTTCTTTTAGTTTTAGACAGAGTGGAGATGGATTAGATCACCTGTCAGTTTGTATTGCTGCCTGTGCCCCTGTTAGGGAGATTCACTCTCTCTAGTGATCCTGTTTACCATTGTCATTGAAAGGTAAAGTAAGAGAAAATTCCAAATTTTGGGTTGGTCCCAGAAAAGTAAAAAGTGGAAATCTTCCAATGGGGACACTAGTTCTGGTGACCTGGGGGCCCTTAAGGGACTCCCTTAATTTGCAGGGATTTCCTCTCACTTCCTGCTTTGGCTATGGGATAGAAAGTGAAGGGAAATCTCCCCAGTGGGACACACTTGGCAAAAAATAAACTGACAGGGGTTATGACTCTCCCTAAATATATCCAAAATGAAAAAAGTGGTTTGGCTATAGTTCTACTTTAATTGCTAGCTTCATTGCCTTCCCTGTAGAGCACTAGATTATGGTTTACACTCTGTAGCCTAGTCAAAAACTGTTGAAAAATAATCTCAACATGAAGTGAAATTCATGTTTTTATACTTTTGGGAACTGGCAGATTTGTATTGCTGTGATCCTATTGGGAAAATATCCGATTGCTCTCTCCCCTGATGCCTGCAATGAGGAATTAAACTTTTACAGCTGTTGTTGCTGTTGTCACTGAAACAGTAGAAGAAGAAAATTTGTCAATGAGGGCATCTGATCCTTTGACACCTGTTAATAGCTATATTAATGCTATTTCTGTTAACTTCTTGTCATGCCTCTGGGGTAGTAAGTCAGTGGAAAAACTCTCCAATGGGAACACAGGAATAAAAATGTGCAAAAAAAAAAAAGTTTCCCATATTTCAACTTTCATTTTGCTTCAATTAAAATTGTTTAAATCATTTAAAAATTTGCATTTTCTTAAGCTCCACAGGTAATTCGGAAAATACGGGCGGAACAATTTTCGGATGCATCAGGGAATTTAAAACTTTGGTGCCAGTTCTTCAATATTTTAAGTGACTCAGATATTACATGGTACAAAGATGAAGTTCAAGTGGCAAAATTAAAGAGATGGTAATGATCAAATTTTTGGGGATATATTTCCAAGGGCACTTTTTCACTATTAAAAGCAGCACACTTAATATAAAGAATTTTAAAGACAGACCCCATTCAAAAGAAAATAATTACTTTCCGGACCTGGTATTTGGCAGTCTGCCAGGCTGCATGCTCAGATAGGATTCTAGTGTGGATTTTTGGGGAGACCTCAAGGTTTTTTTTCAAGTAAGCCCCCTTAAATGCATATCAGACCCAAAGGGTCTGGTAAAGAATTTAGGGGGGGACCCTCACATTGTTTTTTGGTGTGGGATCCTCCTTATAATTCATAAAAGATCTGAAGGGTCTGGTATGAATTATAGGTAACCCCACATGCCCCTTACATGGAATTCCTGAACATGTAAGTAACTAGAATCCTTGATGTCATTGGCTGTTAAGTGCTGGGTGGTACTGGCACCAGCTAACATATTTAACAAACATTGGCAGTGGGAAGCTGTCCTGTATAATAGTAGTTGTAATACAGCCACTATACATGACATTCAGCACCTGTCAAATGGGTAAATGTTTGGGCCTTCACCTGAACAGCCAACGTTTGATATGAATCTGTGCTCAGACCGAATGTTAAGAGCAACCCTATTATTGTTTGCAATCCGCACACACCTTCACTAGTGCATTTTTTTAATCAGCTGATGTACATAAAAATCATATACTTTTTTTTTTTTTAAAAGCACTGCTTTTAACATAGAACATATTTTTCATACGTGAGGTCCCCAGGATTAACAAAGAAAATCTGCACATAGCATGTTTCTTTCTGAATCACCTCAGCTCTCTGCACTGCCCTCCATCAGGTCATTTACATTTTACAAGAAGAAGCCAGGAACTTTTTCAAATGTTCAGGACATACTTACATCCATCCCCTGATGAACCAGAGGTAGTCACAGACCCTCCAAAGCACTGCAGTAGTTTTAAACGTACTTCACAAACATGGTATAACGGGCAGCACAGTGGCTAAATGGTTAGCACTTCCACCTGGCAGTACTAGGATTGTTGGTTCAAATCCCAACCACGGCACCACCTGCCCGGAGTTTGCATGTTCTCTCTGTGCCTGCATGGGTTTCCTCTGGGTATTCTGGTTTCCTCCCACACTCCAAAGACATGCTGGTAGGTCTAAATTGGCCCTAGTATGTGTATGTATGAATGTGAGTTAAGGACCTTAGATTGTACACCCCTTGAGGGTTATGGTCTGATGTGAATGTACAATATATATGTAAACACTGTGTAAATTGACAGTGCTATATAAGTACCTATAATAATAATGATACAAAAATGGTTTATAAAATCATTCTCTGTGACATAATATTTAAGATATCTCTTTTTATATCAGAGTGCAAGGTTCTTCTTATATCCTGCTACTAATACCTGTTCTGTTTTTCTCACTACCCTGTTCACCACATGGAGTCCTTAGAGGTACCCAGTGCTTCCAGGTATGGGGCAGTATGTGAGCTTCTCGCTTTCCTCCTGCTATTCAGTGCATAGCACCTGGTGGGGGGTGGGGGGTTCAGCACAGAGCTTGCACAGGGCTTTGTATTTGGGTCTCAAGGAGGTGACTTGGGAGTCTGAGGAAGGTAAGTATCAGAGGTGAGAGCTAGAAAGAGATCTGAGATAAGTAAACAGGAATAAAAAGTAACAAGTTTACTTTAATTAAACTGTAACTCCTCTTTTGTTAAAGTGTCATTCCACCCTCCGCTTGTCTGCCTCATCCCTCCTTCCACTGTCACATTTGGCACTTTTTTTGGGGAGATTCGGGTACTTGGTTTTGATAGGTACCTTCTCCCACTTCTGGCTCAGTTCATTGTGGCCTCCCTCCTTCCCCCCCACAGTCTTCTGGAACACTTCCGAGGTTCCAGAAGACTGCCAGATTATTCTCCGCGACTCGCTCATGCTCAGTGGACACCCGGCTGTGAAGCCACAAGCTGTTGGGATGCCACAGCTGGGATGCCAGTGCCAGGGGGAGAAGAGGGAGAGAAGGGACGGAGAGGTTGAGCACATCTCTGGATCCTGGGACGTGTGAGTGTCTGTTTATTAAAAGTCAGCAGCTACAGTTTTTGTAGCTGCTACATTTTAATAAACACAAAAATGACTAGAAATCAGTTTTAAGAAAAAACAATCCCCTCTGGTTGATTTGTGTGTATTGCAGGAATTTTTAGCAAACATTCTCTTACAGATTCCTACCTGTTTCTTCTTTGAAGGAATACTTGTTTGTTTGGTTATGTCAGTCTACAGAGTGAAGCTGAATAGGAGTTAGTTTTTTCATCATTAATCAGCTGATGCACTTGCAACATTCTCATGAGGAATGTTGCAGTGTCAGCATCCCTTTAGAAGTGATTAACCTTTTCGGAGTATCTTATCAAAAATGAAACTTTTGTTGCAGAGGATGCCTGAAATCTGAATTGTATCCAAATGCAGACTTCTGGGGAAATCAGTGAGCCAATCACACAAGCTCTAACTGTCTTGGGAAGTTCTGTACACCTACTGTGTACAGAAGGTCTCCAGGTTGCCATGTTAAATTGAATTTTATAGAAAATGATAAAGCTGCAGATTGAAACAGAAAGGTAATTTTTAGTCACATAAAATCACGATAGGGATTTTGTAGCAATTGAAAATGCTATATTATTTATATTAGTTGCTATTTTTCCCCAAAAAAGTGGAGTTATTCTTTAAGCATGATTTGTATTTAGTAGCAATACTACTGGGCTTTGCCACATAGTCCTATTAATAGTGACAATGCAGATTTAAATTAATTCCAGGTAGAATGAAGGTTGAAACACATGGTAATTTTAAGTTTAAACCTTAACTGTAAAATGCATAGTATCCCATGACAAAACGTGTAAACTGAATTATTTTTATGTCATAGTGCTGGAGATGAAGGACAAGTGGCACTTGCAATTGTGCAGGCATCAGTAAAAGACTGTGGAGTGTACCAGTGCACCATTGAAAATGAATATGGTACTGATTCAACAGACTGCCTTCTGAGCGCAGAAAGTAAGTGTATTTTATTGTCTATTTCCACTGTTGCTTTAACACAGTTTAGGAAAAAAATAAAAACTACTTATGCAAACAATACATAACCCCACAATAATTTCATTCCATAATATAATACAATACCCCAATGTGTAATTGCAATAACATAATGTGTATTTTTTGTTGCATGTTATTAGGTAACCTGTCATAAATACATACAAATTTTGTGTTGCTTTTCAGTTTTGGATGGATTCATCTCCAGGGAGGAAGTGGAAGGTATTGTACATGATCTATAGTGCATGACTGAGGATGATCTGATGATGGCAAATAAAAAAAAAGTAAAATCTCAGATTGTTTATAATTGCAGACAGTGAGTAAAGCTGAAATGCACTTAAGTCAGGGCTGAAAACAACTGGCTATAGCAGATGCAATAGGTTTTTGTAGACCAGGCAACATGGAATTGAGTTTGGGTGGCAAAAATCAGATCCCTGTTAATGTAAGTGAAATCTGCACACAATTTCTTTCTAATTCAAGCTTCATCTAAATTCATCTGTACACACATTTGTAAGGTTTGTTACCATTTCTGGGGGGGGGGGGGGGGGGGGGGGGGGGGTTGGGGAATTCACATTAGTTGCCATAATTTTCCACTATTTTAGAGAAAAATCTGAGAGTGATAGTGAGCACTTCCAGTGCCAGTAAGTCTGGTGTTTGTAAAATTGTAAGCTCCATTACATTTTCTGCTGCTATTTCAGTTGGAGAAGAGATAGAGATGACACCAATGGTATTTGCAAAAGGCTTGGCTGACTCTGGCTACTGGGGAGACAAGTTTTTTGGAAGGATAGTCATGGAGGAACCACATGCTGGAAAAGGATTTTTGAGAAAGGCTTGCAAAGTAAAAGCGATTTACGGGTTGGAACCAATTTTTGACTCAGGGAAAACCTGTATCATCAAAATCCGAAACTTAATAACTTTTGGGACCAAGAATGAAAACACCTTAGTGGAAAAGAATTATGATATCACCATTCAGGTAGGTACCTGTTTTCTTTTAAGATGGGTTTTATTAACTTTCTTATAAAGGTTGTAAAAAAAGAGTAAAAAGTAATTAACAAACAAAACAAACATACAATGCCTCTCATGTTTCATTAGCTCATATCAGCCGTAAAAGGGTTACACATGTGTAAGATACCATAATACAAGAATAAAAACAATTCCACCATGTGGATCAAAATACACAGGAGGAGATTTACGAAAACTGGTGCACACAGTCTGGTGCAACTGTGCATAATAAGAATGGTTACTATGCAGAGCTGTACCAGATTCTGTGTGCACCAGCTTTAGTAAATCCCCCCCACAGAGTCTAATATCCTGTATCTAGTGAGGTTAGTGTAAGTGGGATAGACATCCATTTACCTCATATTTTGTCAAAGAGTTTTGGTTTCTCTCTAAGTTCAAAGGTAAGCTTATATAGGGAGAGATTATTAATAATTAGTTTGAGCTAGGTGTTTAAAGTAAGAAGAGACACCCCTTTCCAGGATAATAGAAACATGTTTTGGAAAAAAAATAGAGAATACGTAGTAAGCGTTTAGAATGGTTAGATGTAGTCAAATCACCAAACACCCCTAGCAGACAATTCTTTGGATGTAATATATTGGGGTGATCCAACACCAATGAAATGGAGGTGTCAACTTCAATCCAAAATCTTTGGACTATAGGGAAGGAGGACCAGAAACAGTGCATACAATCAGCTAGGTTACCACAACCCATAAAGCATTCAGCTATAGTATGCAGGCCCATTCTATGTAACCAAAAAGGTGTAAGATGTCTATGATGAAATATTTTCGGTTGAATTAAAAAAATTCAGACCAATCAGAGTCAGTGAGCTGTATATCCAATGAAGACCATATAGTTTGAGCAGCAGTGAAGTTAAGACTAGAGTCTGCCATAAGGGTAGAGTAATATTCTGATGTCAATTAGGTTGTGTCAGGTCATTGCAGTACTTTCTCAAAGGTTGTAATCAGAGGCAGTTCGTTTAACAATCCAAATTGCACCTTGAGGGCATGGTGAAGTTGATAGTAATAAAATAGAAAAGTGGGAGGGATGCAGTAACTGTTTATTTTGCACATTTTCCATAATATATGATGGCGAAATCTGTTGACATGCACTTAACAGTAGATTTAAAATGGAAGGAGACACACTTGAGGCTATGCTCTAAAAAGAGCAGTAGAAAGAGCCAATCAGCTGTGCTGCAGTGCTCCTATGCTAACTAGGAACATGCTGCCAGGTGTGAAGAGCAGTGTGGCAGGGAGATCATCAGTCTGCTGCATCTCCTCTTACTGTCCAATGACAAGTTGCAGGAGCAATGAAACCTGTGAGTGTTGCCTACTTGCAGCAGAGAAAAGGCATCCTGCCCTGTCAGACAGGGCTTTGTTATTGGGCAGGGCTGTGTAACTCTAAGAACTGGATGGGCACAAGTACAAATTCTTTGGCAGATAAAACAGCTCCAATGGACAATGTGTACATTTGTATATTTGGATATTTGCTTGTAGCCTAACTTTTAATTTAAGTTTACCTCTACAATTGGGTTACACACATCAATGTGTAATTCACACTTAAAGGAGAAGTACAGCCAAAGCTCTTTTTGCTGTACTTCTACCGTGGATCACAGGAGTGCAGTTCGTTCTGCACTCCTGTGACCCGTTTTCAGCTGACAGCGTCCTAAAGCCCGTTGATGGCTGACGTCGCTCAGCCAGTCCAGACTGGAGAAAGAGCTCTACTTCAAATTCGGGATTGTAACGGAACCAGACCCAGGACTGCGCTTGGATATTTCCGTTATACTCCTGCTTCCCTGTTCGAACACAGATCCACGGACACCACCGCTGGCCATACAAGACGAGACAGCACTAGACTTGTATGAAAGACAGGAAATAGACTGCTTTACTTTAACATAGATACAAGATATATACACAGGGCGGGGAAATACACACCCAGAACAGGAAACACATCAGCAGGCCGTCCCATCAGGGGAAAGGACTGCCGGAAACATTACATCTCCCAAGCAAGACACACAATAAAACAATGGGATGCACCACGTGGTAGTAAACAATGAACAACCGCCACACCAATACACAAACATTACATCCCATAATAGTTTGCTAGAACAATGGGATGTAGCCACATGGCAGAGAACAATGAACAACCCCCACACCAATATTAGAACATTTCACCCTGTACCCCTAACAGGCACAGGGTGACTTACACATAAGAGGGAGCTGGGGAGCTGACACAGGGGTCTCCCGACTCCTTCAAAGTGAGCTGTGTTCCATGGGCCTCCCACCTAAAGTCACTCCCGTCACAATGATCCACCCCAAAGTCTGGAGAAGGACCTGGCTCAGCCTCTCAGCGAGCTGCTGAGAGCCTGAGCCAGATGCTCCCTCCCCCTCCACAGCCCAGTGCTCCAATGAGCTCTGGAGGGGCAGAGTAGACAGCGCTGAGTGACAATCACCACTCTATGCTCAGAGCAGCTGTGAGAACTCAGTGTTCAGTGGTCATGTGATCGCTGAGTTCTCACAGTTAAATCCGGCGGGGGCAGATGCTGCATCCACCTAGGTAATTATAAATGGGGGGGAAAAAATAAGTCCACACTTCTCTTTTAAGCTAACATGTCAGCATCCTAATATGTTTACTTTTTCTTTAAAGGAATGTAAAATTCAGAATACTACCCGCGAATACTGCAAGATATTTGCAGCTGAATGCAGAGGTTTTCCAAACTTTGGACAGCTTCTTGAGTAAGTTTTGAGCTACGGTCTGCACTATTTTTTTCATAAATATTGAATCCTTTACCATGCATAATTCACAGAATAGTCTTTCTGACGTAAATTTTGATGGGTGGGTATATGCTTAGGCGTGTGAATCCATGCCTACAAGCTTATGTATGTACAGTATATTATCATGCCCTTAAAGTATGTTTTTTAAGGTTCTATTTTTTTTCTTACAGCACTTGACTGCTATCCCAAGGAATTGCATTATATAGTATGGTTCAGGGTGATCAATGAAATGCAAGCATGGTAAAATGTGGACTGTATTTTACTTCTTTAGGATCTTACCTCTAAATCTGATCTATCGACCTGCCAACAATGTCCCCTATGCTACCATAGAAGAGGACCTTGAAGGAACGTTTGAAAAGTACTGTGTCAAGGATATTACAGGAAAATTACACTTCAAAAACTCTTCAGAAATAGAGCAAAAATGCTGCACCTTTCAGCATTGGGTATTTCAGTGGACTAATGGCAATTTCCTTGTCAGCATTCTAGAAGGTGAGACATTAAAACTAGATGTAACCATTGTAGAAACTCTAACTTTAGAAAGTATTAAGTCATTGATTTCTCTAAAATACTATTGTGTCTTTTTGTCCAGGTGTTGGATGGAAACTAACCAACATAGCTATTGCCACAAAAACCAAGGGGTAAGCAAGTGGAGGTTATCAGTCTATTTCATCCATTACTGGTAAATTAAGCAGCAATAATTTTTTGTCTCTTCCATTTGATGGCCACTGTAATAGATTTGAATTTGGTAATACGAAGAACCATTTTAAAATGAGGAAGTCTTTATATTATGCCCCAGTGTTTGGCCAAAATGCTAGAATGTACTATTTCAGGTATCTTCTACTTTTAAGATAACTAGACTGAATGCAACAAAAGAAGAATAATATTAGAGTGAAGGATAATATTAGAGTGGGTGATTTTCTTACATCTATAATGATCAGCATACCTGACATCCACATATCAAAGATAGCTGTGTTTTTTAAGCAATTAATATAATTAGACAATTATCTTGTCCCACATGGCTGTACCACTTCAGTCTAAATTCTTCAAGAGCATGGATATGACCTTCATGTTCTGCAATGCTAATGCTGCTGTCACAGGTTTTGTTCTTCTCATTCCTTTTTTACGTTTGTACATTTGAAAAAAAAAACTCAGTAAATAAGAACTAAAAAATATATCAATAGAAAAAAAGCACTAATAATGCTAATAATTATTATAATAATTTTTCACTGCACTTTTCACCAATCTTGTAACACATTTTCTGCTCATTATTTTAATACCTTAGAAAAGTGGTCTCCAAACTGGAGCCATTTGCTAGCCTTTATCTGCCCCTTGGGGCACTTTTCCTCCCACTGAGACTATTCTACCAACTGACAACAATGGGACACCATTTCTCCCACTGGTGCCTACAAAGGGGCACTATTCCTTCCTTTAATATCAAACACAACTGATGTTTACTATCAGTTATGCCAGGAAATATTCCAATCCCGTTGGCCACAGTCTGGCCCCCCTAAAGTTTGGAGACCGATGCCTTAGATTAATAAGCCATTCTTTGAAGCCAAACCAAGCAGATATTTAAAAAAATAATGCAAGTAGCTGTTCATTATACAAAAATAAATGTATTTCCAAATGTAACTAGTCTTAATGCCTAAGTTTAGAAGGGTTGTAAAAGTGTCAAGACTTGATGGTCATCATTACAAATCCTTTCTCAGGTAAAGCAGCTACCACAAATATGTTTTTATATGCTTACCTCAAGGTTAGCTTTAATATTCCAGTTGTTAATGCTTGTAAAGTGTCCTAGTTACAATTTAATAACAGATTTGGTTATGGTTTTGGTCTACACAAAGAAGACCTAGCTATGCTCATTTCTTCACTTAAATATTTGTATTTCTAGATATCAAGGACTAAAAGAAAGCTGCTATCCAGAGATCATTGAGGAATTTCCATCAATTCACCAGTGCAATAGCTACTGTGAAATGCTAAGCTTAAAGTCACTCAAAACAATGAAAAGTCTCCAGCCTCCACCCAAACCAAAGGGCTCAAGAAGCCCTCAGATCTCAAGGAAATCTGGCTCTGGGTCTTCTCAGTCAAGTCCTCAGATACAAAAGAAGACTTTAACAACCCCACAAAGTAATAAAAAAGGTGGGGTCAGCCCTAAATCTACAAGAAAAGCCATGGAAACTGGGGAATCACAATCAGGTACAAAAAATAAAGGAGCTGATGTAAAACTACAATAACAGCTACAACTATCGTTTTGACTCTCTATACCTGGACATGACTGCAACTGGACTATTTAATTAAAAAAAGTAAGAAGATACAAAGGACATGATTTAAGGTGGCATAGTCTTCTTCTATGTTTCACATTATAAGCAAAAGGGCTGTTGACAGTCTGAGCTGCAGAGGATTTGTTATAAGCAGAGGATGAGCGCGGGAGGTGCATGTTCTATGGACAGATTGTATTATGTATGGAAGATGTGTCAATATATTATGCTGCAAACACAATGAAATCTGTAATTTCAGAACTGTTGAATCAATCTCAAAGACAATTGTTGGGATATATGGAAAAATGCAAAGTTCAATTCCAATGAGGTATCTTAGTATGTGAGACGACAATTGCACCTCCGTTAAACTATTTGGTCTACAGGATACACTTCAGAAAAAAAGCACAAACATCTACAATATCTTCTTTTCACTTCCAATACACTGTTTCACCAGCTTTGGTTTGTGTGAGAGCATTTACAGGACATGCATTTCTAAAAAAGTAATACTTTGTGATGTTTATTGGCCATAAGAAGCAAAGTTCTGATCCAGTGTCTCACTCAAAGTAACACAAATAGAAAATTCAAGAAAGGTCAAAGGAAGCAAATCCTATTAAATCAGGAATCTGATTAAAATAATGGCTCTCAATTCTTGTGATTGTACCAAGCTTCAGGACAACATGTATAATGCTGTTAATCATTCTCTGAAGCAAACATATTGATTTAAACACTAGAGTGCAAGTATTTTGCTATAAACTCAGGGTGATTTAGTCTATAAGTCTGCAGTTTACCGGTGTTTCTGAATCACTAAAGGACTTATTAGCCAAAGGTCTCAAGACCACAAGACATAATTCATAGACTCACAGCTATGTACCAGGGACAAGTTGTAATAGTGCTGTACTTAGCTGTACAAGGCCATGCCTCAACTCATTTGGATCCTGAGGCAAACCACAAACCAGGGTTTGTCAGCAGCTCTTCATTTTTACCAATACTGACCACACACATAAATGTCTCTTTCATAGTTAGAAAAGGACTTTGTTGGCATTAAAACATCTACTACTTACATTGATATATTAATAAAGAAAGAGACAAACAAAAAAGGTCGGAATTGGGTGCTCTAGTAACATGGACCTAGCAGCAGTTGCTGTCCCTACTATCATTTTTCCTACTCAGCTGTATTCATATATTTGAAAGAATGATCAGTCTTTACACATCTGTAAAGACTCTAAGTTGCACCTAGAAGTATGCATATAGTCAACGGCAAGGAAACCCAGTACTACACTACTCTTGTAAAACTCTATTGATGCATCATTTAGAAACACTTTAAATGCAGTTACACTGGGTAACATATGGCAAGGCTGTAAACTATTCAATGATAACAAATATTACACTTAAGTTATTGTTACCAGGTAAAAGCTTGATCTGATTTTCAGCTCATCCTTTGCATAAACATAAATGCTGGGTTTAAATTTCTCTTTGCCTCCCATAAACTTTAACCTGAATGCAAATCAAAGCCAAAGTCAAAATATGCATTTTTCATTAACTCAATGGTTGAGGTGAATTTTTATTGCTCACTTATTATTTTTCCAAGCGAGTCCCACTCTAAGTCACAAGATGTGGATGCGCTGTGGTAAAACACTTCAATTCAAGTATAAGATAAGGCATTCAGATGATCATAAGATTTTGAGATTCAACACAGCTAACCTAGATCACTGCAACCAGGTTCATAGTGGAGATTCATAAACATTATTGTGACAAACTAACTGATGCCTGCCACAGTGGCTGTTGTAGTATGGGCTTACATACTGACATTAATAAATTCTATGGTCTGTCCTAGATGTTCTAATTGTAGATTTAATTTTATTGTGGACTGCTCATTTACTGGTTTCTAACCATAAATATAAGCATTTGTGAGACAGGTCGTGAGCCCATTTGCAGCAAAATGCATGGCGCTCTGGAGGCAAAGTGACTATAGTAGTATCAGTTTCAGAATGAATGATTACGTAGACTGCACCCTAGAGTAAAGATACCAAAGTATAAGATACATATTTGACCAGATAAACTGTTTTAGATTTATTTGCTGATAACTAAGTTGTGTATAGGGTGCAGACATTAAGATTGACTTTGAACAGGTAGGATAGAAAATTCATGCATCATGGCCACATCTGAATGTGTATGTGGTCACTACACAACAATTTCCAAAGCCTCCCTTACAAACATTTTGGCAGAGGTGCTAAACTTCATGACTATGAAGATTTAGCCACACACATATGGCCAAATCTGGTAAAGATTGGGCTGGCTGAGTTAGACAATGTGTATGGCGAGCCTAATTGTACTGTTTACCTAAATGTACTGTTATCATGTAACCACTCTGAGGATATAGATATGCAAACAGTTATCCTAGCATTTTAAATCCCATATAAGTGTATTGTGAGGTTCAAGTTTTGCAGAGGGTGGTCATGCACTTAACCTGTGACCAAACTTCTGTACATATGTGTAAGCAGGGCTGTATCACTTTGCACTATGATCGGTTGCTTCAGAACTGCCTGGCAGTGTGCCACACACAGTCACTTTGCCTCGTTTGGTATGTGCTTTTCATCATTGTGGATATTTTTGCCTTGTTTAATAGATGTGACATGTGATACATTGAATGTTCCTATTTGCACATTTTGCTGTACTGGAATCCTTGAAGCACTTCATTAAAATGTAGCAGTGACTGACAACTGAGAATTGTTATTGATCATTAAATTAGTTTTCTGTGTATAAGTCACATGTATTAAAAGGTCCTCCATTACTGCCCCTAGATCACTCAAATGTGTTCAGAAACACCTTAAAGGAAGCATGTAGGGACAATTAAACTACTAAACTTATAGTGGTTCCAGATAACATTGTGTCAGCACATATCTATAGATAGAGGACATATGACTGCAAAGTGGCTATACAAATGCTGACTGTCTCAAGGTCGACATTCATGTAGCCCATGATATGCTTCCTCCATTCTACCATGAGCTTTGCAAGGCATGTTGCTAGGTCCACAAGAAATAGTGGAGACATTTCAGGGGCTGCAGGAAGTATAGAAGTGACAACATCTCACACATTAGACACGTCCTAGCTGAAATAAAAGCTGAATACATTTTTTAAACTTTTTGTAGAGATTTATATTGCTGACTGTGTTCCTACTGGGGGAACTTACCCTTAATTCTCCCCAGCAGGGACACAGACATCAATAAAAAGCTGGAAGATTTTCTTAACTTTACTAAAAACAATGTTTGTATTACTGTGTACATCCTTATAGCAATAAGATGCAGACTTATTGTAAACAGAAACAAACAGAAAATAAATAGTCCCAAAAGTCATTCACAATCCGAATATCTTGAGTAGAGATCAAAGTCCACCTCCAAGTATGGTCTCTTTTCTTGGTCCCAAAATAATTTAAGATGGATCCAGAATCTTCATATACCTCAAACCAAGCATAGACTTAACATAGTGTATTATCTTTGGGATAAGGGTAGGTGTGACACTTGTGTAACATGCAGAAAATATAACATGTGCCAAAACACACGTGAAGAGAAAAAATATATATATATATAATTAAAAGTCACAAAAACTGTGCCAAAAAAGGCCAAAGCTCCTATATACACCTAAGATATATCTCAACAGTGCACAAAAACTGGATGAAAAGGATATAAACGTGTTCCACTGCAATGAGTGTGAAAAAAATGCATAATTACCCTAATGAAACATTAACCAGCTCTCCTCATAAGCATGATAGCAAACTCCTCGGAGTCCCAATCGATATTGTCATAATCGTCCAAGGTCCTCATCAAACAAATCAGGGGTTAGAGATGATGTAGTAAAAACCTAACAATTTTATTAGCCAACTTACATCTAAAATCACAGAAGCCAGCTGCCACAGTAGTAGTAGGAAGTCCTGGGAGGACCTTGGATGATTATGACAATATCAAAGCTTAATTGAATGGAAGCTAGGAAGGAATGTGATCCAGTGAATAAAGCCAGCCACAGAAAGTTTGAATCTCAGCCAATTCAGCAGGCACCAGCCGAGATTCAAACAATGTACGGGCAGGCTGAATGTACCCAAGCTCATCAATCAATCAACTTGGGTACAACCAGCCTGACGTATTTTACATGCGATTATTGCTAGAGGCTATAATAGCCGCTAGTAGTAATCACTGTGTTCTCCCGGCAGGGATGTATGGCGTCTCCCCCCCGGACTTACACAATGGCTCCATGGGAGGGATGGGAGGGATTGCCCCATCAACACTGACTGGTTTTCAAGCGTTTTTCATTACTGTAACCCATGGTTGTCAGAAAGAAAATGACTCCGTCTATGGCCTGCCTTAGTTGTATGATAACCAATACATTGACTGAATTGCAGCTGATAGTACATAGTATTTTATTATCTGTCAGCCATACTAAAGCCTCATGTGAGTGTGTTCACCTAGGGTGAATGGCTGTAAGTGCACATTTTCTGCTCTGTTCATATTGTACCAAATATATTGTTATTATGCTATACGATTTGTATATTTTTTTTTAGACAAAGCCACAATGTGAAATAAACCTAACTGCAGCTCAAGCATGCAGTTCTCTACTAAGAAAACACCTGTATAAATAGTAAGTCCCTTCTATAATTGAGCAGTATAGAGCCATGGGGTCCTCCTCACACTACTTCAATTACCATAATCATTAGATATTTGTCTTTTGTTATGCTAAGATAAAATCTGCTGTCTTCAGTAGTGCAGATCCACCAGTTCAGATTTAAAGCTGAACTCCATGTTTTTTAAACATGCACAAATTAATGCAGTTTTTCATCTGCTAATACATCTCTCAATGTATTCCTAATGCGAGTAGTTTAATTACCAAATTCTGAGTGCATGAGGAATCAGTCAATTGTGCTAAAGTGCAAAGAACATGCTGATAGGAGAACAGGTCAAAGAGACAGGGCATGGCTGTACTGGACA